GTTCATGTGCATTCCTGGTTGTTCCAAACTGGTGGCTAGGAGATTGAAAAATAAATTTCAAAAATCATAGTCATTTATAATAATACATTTTTATAATTTTATTTTTAATATATTAATCAGCATAATACAATTTAAACATACTTGGTTGTTTGGGAAAGTTCATGAACATTCCAGGTTGTTCCAATTTGGTGACTGGAAAGTTAAAAATTAAGTTTTATGAATCATAATCATACAAAAACAAACATTTCTATTTTTTTGTTTTAAAATATTAATCAGCATAATACAATTTAAACATACTTCCATGATTAAGAAAATTCTTTTGCATTCCAGGATTTTCCAAATTGGTAGCTGGGAAGTGGAAAAATAGATATAATAAATCACAATCATATAATAATAACATTTCTATATATTTTTTTTCAATATATTATCAGAATAAAACAATTAAAACATACTTGGTTGATTGGGAAAGTTCATGTGCATTCCTGGTTGTTCCAAACTGGTGGCTAGGAGATTGAAAAATAAATTTCAAAAATCATAGTCATTTATAATAATACATTTTTATAATTTTATTTTTAATATATTAATCAGCATAATACAATTTAAACATACTTGGTTGTTTGGGAAAGTTCATGAACATTCCAGGTTGTTCCAATTTGGTGACTGGAAAGTTAAAAATTAAGTTTTATGAATCAAAATCATAAAAAACAAACATTTCTATATTTTTGTTTTAAAATATTAATCAGCATAAATCAATTTAGACATACTTGTTTGATTGGAATAGTTTATGTGCATTCCAGGTTGTTCCAAATTGGTGGCTGGGAGGTTAAAAAAAAGGTCTTAAAAATTATAGTCATATAAAAATACAATTTCTATATTTTAATTTTAAATATAAAATTCAGCATAATACTATTTAAACATACCTCTCTGATTAGAAAAGTTCATTTGCATTCCAGGATTTTCCAAATTGGTAGCTGGGAAGTGGAAAAATAGATATAATAAATCACAATCATATAATAAAAAACATTTCTATAATTTTATTTTAAAAATAATAATCAGCATAATACAAAATAAACATACTTATTAGGTTGGGAAAGTTCATGTACATTCCACTTTGTTGCAAATTGGTGTCTGAGAAGTTCAAAAATAAATTTTCTAAATCATAATCATATAATAAATAACATTGCTATGATTATCTTTTGAAAATAATAATCGGGATAATAAAATTTAAACATACTTGTTTTATTGGGAAAGTTCATGTAAATTCCAGGTTGTTCCAAATTGGTACCTGGAAAGTTAAAAATTAAGTTTTATAAATCATAATCATATAATAAAAAACATTTCTATATTTTTGTTTTAAAATATTAATCAGCATAATACATTTTAAACATACTTGTTCGAATGGGAAAGTTTATGTGCATTCTAGGTTGTTCCAAATCGGTGGCTGAAAGGTTAAAAAATAAGTTTCAAAAATCATAGTCATATGAAAAAAACATTTCTACATATTTTTTTTCAATATATTATCAGAATAAAACAATTTGAACATACAAGGTTGATTGGGAATGTTCATGTGCATTCCTGGTTGTTCCAAACTGGTGGCTAGGAAATGAAAAATTAAATATTTTTTTTCATAATCATATAATAAAAAACATTTTTATAATTTTATTTTAAAAATATTAATCAGCATAATCAGTTTAAACATACTTAGTTGATCGGGAAAGTTCATGTGCATTCCAGGTTGTTTTATGATGGTAGCTAGGAAGAAGAAAAGCATCTTTTAAAATTCATAGTCATATAATAAAAACCATTTCTTTATTTTAATTTTAAATATAAAATTCAGCATAATACAATTTAGACATACTTGTTTGATTGGGAAAGTTCATTTGCATTCCAGGTTGTTCCCAATTGGGGGCTAGCAAGTGGACAAATATATTTTATAGGTTATAATCATTTAATAAAAAACATTTTTATAATTTTATTTTAAATATATTAATAAGCATAATACAATTTAAACATACCTGTTCGATCTAGAAAGTTCATTTGCATTCCAGGTTGCTCCAAATTGGTTGCTAGGAAGTTGATAAATATATTTTATAATTCAAAATTATATTATAAAAAAAATTTGTATAATTATATTTTAAATATATTAATCAGCATAATGCAATTTAAAAATACCTGTTTGATCAAGTAAATTCATTTGCATTCCAGGTTGTTCCAAATTGGTGGCTAGGAAGTTAAAAATTATATTTTATAAATCATAATCATATAATAAAAAATATTACTATTATTTTGTTTCAAAAAAAATAATCGGCATGATAAAATTTAAACATACTTATTTGATTGGGAAAGTTCATTTGCATTCCAGGTTGTTCCCAATTGGTGGCTGCGAAATTGAAAAATATATTTTATAAATCATAATTATATAATAAAAAACATTTTTATAATTTTATTTTAAATATATTAATCAGCATAATGCAATTTAAAAATACCTGTTTGATCAAGAAAGTTCATTTGCATTCCAGGTTGTTCCCAATTGGTGGCTGCGAGGTTGAAAAATATATTTTATAAATCATAATCATATAATGAAAAACGTTTCTATATTTTTATTTTAAATATATTATTCAGCATAATACAATTTAAACATACTTGTATGATTGGGAAAGTTCATCTGCATTCCAGGTTGTTCCAAATTGGTGGCTAGGAAGTTAAAAATTATATTTTATAAATCATAATCATATAATAAAAAATATTACTATTATTTTGTTTCAATAAAAATAATCGGCATGATAAAATTTTAACATACTTGTTTGATTGGGAAAGTTCATTTGCATTCCAGGTTGTTCCCAATTGGTGGCTGCGAGGTTGAAAAATATATTTTATAAATCATAGTCATATAATGAAAAACATTTTTTATATTTTTATTTTAAATGTAAAATTCAGCATAATGCAATTTTAACATACTTGTTTGATTGGGAAAGTTCATTT